CAGAAATGAAGTCTGTATGCACATGGGCAGGATAATCTTAAATATTGAAGCCAAATCCAACTCCCTCAATGGGCTAGAATTTTAGAGCTGTTTGTTCAAGGCTATTGGTCTACAATATCAGATATGAAAGGCAAAAAGCAACATTTAACCCTTAAGGGTTGGTAAGCCCATGATCTACCATGGATCATTACACTCATTTTAATCACTTAAGAGCCCAGCCACCCCCCTCTCCAGTTAAGGCACACAGGACACAGAATCACTTTCAACATCTTTATTAGGAATTACTTCCTCCAACAGAACCATCTCTTTAGACACAGGATGCTGGTCCCTGAAGCAGCAAGCAAGAATCTGAAAAAGTGTTTGTGTCACGTAACAGTTCTTTCCAGGCCATATGCAGACGACATGATCTAGAATTGTGAAGATACACTGGGGGAAAAAAAAAAAAATCATGCAGGAGAGGGTCTGGAGACAGTGGGGCTTGTCCAAGGTGAGCAGGTGTCCTGGGGAAGTGAGTCCGGGGTGAACAAACAAAGACAAAGTCCAAATGGAGAATCCAAAACCGAAAAGTAGAGTCCAAAGCCAGGAGATCCATCCAGGGAATAAAAGCATGAACCGGGGCAGGGAATCAGGAACAGAAGGTTAAAACCATAACCGAGCCAGATGCAGCAGGACCCTGGGTTCTCAGGAAACGTGATTCAATGAGGAACCTCGGGTGACGTCTGCATCTGGCTTTTAAGGGGGAATGGAAATAAGGAACAGGTGCAGGTAATGGGAAAGAACAAGGAAGGGCTGGAGCGCCCTTAAGAGGAGGAGTAGCAATCGTGACAGGTTAAAGCCCCATTAAGTGCAGGAAGAAGACAATTTTCTTGAGAAGCTTACAATAAGAGAAATTACAGAGAGGAATTAAGCCTTAGGTGTCCTAGGGGAAAAAAATACTTCCATGCAAAGGAGTGCAGTAGGAATCCTCAATTGCAGATAGTTAATATTTTACCAAGCATTGCTTGCAAGAGAAGAGTAGCTACATTTAGTGACACTGTTACTCCCACCCCCTCCCCAACCAGGGGACAGCAAAGACAAAGTGCTTGTCAGCAGTGCACTCTGGGAAGAGAAGGGCACATCTGGATTTGTACATTTCCATT